GGAAGCAGGAAAGCGAGCCTGTGAGAGCTGATGCTGCAAGTCACGGCGAGGAGGATCAGGGGCTGAGGACACATCTAAGACAAAAAGATGCTGTGGCCTTTCGTTACCAATTACATGAAAGTAAATGCGAGGGAGATGCAGATCTACAGGTAAAGCAGGCAGAACGCGATACAGGGTATTTTATAATCCTGGCTTGCAGGAGCCTCTCCTGTGCAAGACACAAAACCTGCCAAACGTGACAAATCTATGAGAAAGGTCGGCTTCCTTCACCCGGGAATAGACCACAAACCCGAAACCTATACCGGGAGGCTCACAAGGCTGGTGCTGGCTGCATTTTGTTTGCTTTGCAAAGTTCCTGTGGATGCTGATGACTTGTTTGCTTTTAATCTATTTGAGAGGGAGAGAGACACAGACACAGACACCTCCTATCCTCTGGTTCACTCCCCAAATGCCTGCAGTAGCCAGGACTGGACTGGGGCCAGGACTGAAGTCAAAGCTGCAAGCCAGGAACTCAACCCAGGCCTTCCATGCAGACAGCAGGGACCTGGCCCAACTGGAGCCACCTCTGCTGCCTCTGAGGACCGGCATGAGCAGGAAGCTGGAATCCGAAGCACAGCTGGGACTTCAACATGGGCACTCTGATGTGAGACATACGCAGTCTAACTGGCAGCTTACCTACTAGCCTGATACCTCCCCTGCTTGTTTTTCAAGTGGAATGAGTTGCCAACATTTTAAAATAAGGATAATTAGGGCAGGCATTGCAGCACAGCAGTTTAAGTCAAAGATTGAAACGCTGGCATCCCAAATTACAGCATCAGTTTAAGTCCTAGCTGCTCCACTTCTGAGTCAGCTCCCTGATGATGCACCTGGGAAAGCAGCAGAAAATGGCCCAACTTCTTGGCCCCCTGCACCCACATGGGACACCCGAAGAAGCTCCTAGCTCCTGGCTTCAGATTGGCCCAGCTCCGATCACTGCAGCCACTGGCGGAGTGCACCAATAGATGGAAGACCTCTCTCTCTCTGTCTCTCCCTCACTCTCTGTAAATCTGCCTTTCAAATAAATACATACATCTTAAAAAAAAAAAAAAAGTGCCTAGGAAAGCAGCAGAAGGTGTCCAAATGCTTAGGCCTCTGCCATCCATATGCATGACCTGGATGGAGTTCTAGGCTCCTGGCTTCAGCCTGTCCCCTGTCCCCCACACCCGTCGTGTTCTGTAGGAGAATGAACCAGCAGATGGGGGAATCTGTCTCTCTCCCTATCACTTTGCCTTTCAAATAAATGTATAACTCTTAAAAATAAATTGGGGTATTCAGTTGGGAACACCAAGTTCTGACTTCCACCTGGGAATTACTGTAGCTGAGAAGGCACTATGGGGCAGCAGTTCTCCAATACAAAATAACTGTACAACACTACCTGACAAAAGAGATCCGTAAACGTACATGGAACTACTCAAACAAGAAAAATATAAGCCAAGTTTGGAAAACCTGGCAAAAAGCATTCAGGAAAGAAATACAAATGGCCAATAAAGATAGGAAAAGAACAATCTCCCTTCTAACCAGGGAAAAATCCCACCAGTGCTTCTGTCCATCAGACTGGGGTGGGGGTGCACATGATAATATCTGGTCTTGGAAAGCGTACAGGGAACTGGCAGGTCAAACACCATTGGTAGAGAGAAAATCAGAAGAATTTCTGGATGGGTAATTTGGCAGGAGGCACCCAAATGTCAAATGTGCATACACTTTACCCCACCTGCCCAGGGATGCCAGGAATGTGACATCTGGAATTAACTCACTTAAGCCGAATATACACCCCTAAGGGGTGCTCAATGTAACGCTGTTTATAATGGCACACAGAAGCAACCTGAGGTTCATGAACAAGGGAAGGGCTGATCACATTAGGGAACCTTCTCAAGGCTTCAGTGCATTAGCAGGGAGAGAGGCCTGCATCTGCTGACATGGAAAGCAACTCAGTAAAGCCCGCCGCTAAGGGGCCGGCGCTGTGGCACAGCAGGTAAAGCCATCGCCTGCAGTGCCGGCATCCCATATGGGTACCAGTTGAATCCCAGCTGTCCCGCTTCCAATCTGGCTCTCTGCTATAGCCTGGGAAAGCAGCAGAAGATGGCTCAACTCCTTGGGCCCCCTGCACCCATGTAGGAGACCCAGAAGAAGCTCCTGGCTCCTGGCTTCTGATTGGCCCAGCTCCGGCCATTGTGGTCAGTTGGGGCGTGAACCAGAGGATGGAAGACATCCCACCCCTGACTACCAAATAAATAAATCTTTAAAAAAAAAAAAAAAGTAGACTGCTAAGCAGAAACACCAAGTGCCACAACAAAGCGCACCCCCTGATGGCACCTGCAAGGTGTTACCCCTCTGCGCACTGAGTACTCCTATATATTCTTCCTTTTGCTATCAACATCTTTACATAACCATGCAATTATAAATTTATAGATGTTTGTATATTTAGAATATTTCAATATGTCCATACACATATTTTTCACTCTGTCGTTTTTCATGTCATTGACAAGTTTCCTGAAAAGTATGTATGCCAGTGGCTCCAATTTTCTTGTTTAAAAGCATAGAAAGACAATTCCCAGGAAAAAAAGGCAAAGAATATGAAGGAGGGTGGGCGCTTGGGACAGCAGACGCCGCCTCCTGGGATGCAAACGTCCCATATCGAGTGGCTCTGCTTCAGATTCCAGCTTCCTGCTAACGTGCACCCTGTGAGGCAGCAAGTAATGGCTGAAGTTCTCGGGTCCTGCCACCAACGCGGGAGACCTGCACTGGACTCCCAGCTCCTCGCTTTGGCCTGGCCCAGTCCAGGCTGATGCAGGCACTGGGGGAATGAACCAGCAGGTGGCAGATTTTCCTCTTTGCCTTTCAAAAAAAAAAAGAGAGAGAGAGAAAAGAAAAAAAATAAAAATGTATTTTAAAAAAGTACTACCAAGGATTTGTACAGAGGAAAAAACAACTTTTGGAGGCAGGCATTGTGGCACAGTGGGTTGAGCTGCCCACGTCCCACGTTGCAGTGCCCAGGATCGAGTCCCATCTCTGCTTCTGACCCAGCTTCCTGCCAGCGCACACCCTGGGAGGCAGCAGGTGATGGCTCAAGTCCTTGGGTCCCTGCCATCCACATGGGAGACCTGGCTCCTGGCTTAGCATGGCCAAGCTCTGGCTGTTAGGGTACTGGGGGAGTGAACCAGGAGGTGAGAACTGACACTCTCGCTCTATCTTTCAAATAAAAAGTACAAATTTAAAAATAAAAGAGGCTGGAAGAAAACGTGCTGCTCTGCAGTTACTGCCTCTAGGAGGCGGCGGGAGCAACAGTCTGGGTTTCTCTGCACTCTCCTATTTCCAGTGACTCCGCTGTTCTGTGTCACCAGGAAAGCAGCATACTTTGCAAAGCGAATTTTGCGGTGTGGCAGAACCCATCCCCGAGTCCAGCACCTGTGACGAGGACTCCCCACACTGTGAGGCCTGCAGTCCCTGCTCCACGCTTCCAGGCAGACGTATAAAGATGTCGATAGCAAAAGGAAGCTGCTTCCCTCCTTCTCTCCTTTCCTCCCCCCGCCCCACCACCTCTTCCTGTACCTGCTCTCAGCTTGGCCCCTTTCTCTACTACTTGCCCACCCACCGCAGGCCCCATGTTGCCTTTTTTTTTTTTTTTTTCCTTTCTTCAAGTCATTGTGGAGTTTGTAGACCTGGTAGGGAGATGGTAGGGGTGATAGGAATACAGTCGGCCCTCCATCTCTATGGAGCCAAATGAGGGGAGACAACACCCAAACCAAAAATCACGGGTGTACAGAAGGTGTACAGAATTTCTCTCTTGTTCCCTTAAAACATACAGCATACAGTCAGCGCTGTGGTGTAGCAGGGTGAAGCCTCCACTTGTGGCACCTGCATCCCATATGAGTGCTGGTTCAAGACCCAACTGGGCGCCAGTTCAAAACCCAGCTGCTCCACTTCCAATCCAGCTCTCTGCTAATGGCCTGGGAAACCAATGGAAGATGGCCCAAGGGTGTGGGTCTCCGTACCCTTGTGGGAGACCCAGAAGAAGCTCGTGGCTCCTGGCTTCAGGTTGGCCCAGATCCAGCTGGTACATCCATTTGCGGAGTGAACCAGTGGATGGAAGACCTCTGTCTGTCTCTTCCTCTCCGTCTCTGTAACGCTACCTCTCAAATAAATAAATAAATCAACTATCATGTACACAGCATTCATACCACAGGCATTACAGGCAATCTAGAGAAGACATAAAATGTTTGGGGCGGGGGAAAGGACACGCAGAGGTTATGTCAAACACTGCCATCTCATAGAAGGCTTCAGGACTGGTATCCGACTGGGTCCGAGAACCAGCGCCCTGAGTACAGCTAGGGTGGCTGGATTCCAATTCCACAGGTGACTACCGCCAGGCTCACCCTTTGGGTCAATGACACTGAGAAGGAAGAAGCAAAAGAGAGAACAAAAACTAAGACAGAATCCTACACAGCAAATTCTGGTCACTTTCCAGGGACTGTGTCCTGATCATATATTGGTGCTCTAGGGTGAAAAGCTTCAAAGTCACTGACAGGTTAAAAAAAAAAAAAAGGCACCCCAAGTCAGCATGACAGGTAACTGTCCAGTGTGTCTTTAGAATCACCATCAGAACCTGAAAACTAAAAAGAAGGAAACATCTGTAAAGATGAAACTTAAACAGCAGCCTTTTTTAAATAAACAGGCCCTTCTAGGAAGCCACATTGTTTTTCCCACCAGGAGGAAAATCGTGTTGCTTAAGAACACAAGACCTGCAAGGCAGCCACCCAGGCGCGCTGGCTGACCTCATCCTCCCGGGGCCTCTGCTCGCTGGGAACCCCGCCAACGCCAGAGCCAGCCCGGCTCCGGGGGTGTCATCCCTCCCCCACCCTCAGCACACCCCCAGGGGGCTGCCCAGCAAACCCTGGAGCAACGACGGAAGGAGTGGACCAGGGAGCTGCACGCCCAGCAGCAGCCCCGGGCCAGGCGCCTACCTCTTCTGGTTCATGGAAGCCACCTGGAGCCACTCGTTGGTGCTGGGGTTGTAGGAATGCGCAGCGGAGATCTCCTGGCTGGTGATCCTGTAGCCGCCCACGATGAAGAGGTAGTTGTCCAGAGTGGCCGAGCCGTAGCCCCTGACGTTGACCAGGTCCGGGGGCAGGTTGTTGGCCAGCGGGAACCAGCGCTCAGTCATCTCCTCGTACCTGAGCATGGACGGCGGCTCCCCCTGGTAGGGGTGCGGCGCCAGGGGGCCGCCCAGGAAGTCCCCCAGGGCCACCAGGACCGGGGTCCCCGTCATCCGGGCCTCCCTCAGCCTCTGCTTGAGGCTGACGTCCCCCGGAGCCGGGGGAGGCGACCCCAGCAGGTGGAACTGGGGCTTGCACAGCACCTCGTGGAAGTGCACGGCCATGAAGCGCAGGCAGGCGTCCTGCAGGTCGGGCAGGCCGTACACCTGCGCCAGGCGGTACAGCTCCAGGCAGTTGGTGAGCCGCACCTGGGACAGCAGCAGCTGCAGCAGGGACGTGACCTGCAGGAAGGAAGCCGCCTCCACGAGCGCGGCGAGCAGGCTCGCTTCGTCCAGCTCCTCCTCGCCATCGCCCGCGCCGCCCTTGTCCCCGCGCGGGCCCAGCTGCCAGCCCTCGCGGGCGCCGCCGGCGTTGATGAAGTCGAGCACGAGCCGCAGGCCCGGCGCGCTCAGGCCGCGCAGCTGCTGCACCTCGGGGCCGCCGGCCTCCGGGCTCAGGGCCTCGCGCATGCCGGAGCGGTAGAGGGCGCGGAAGTAGTCGCTCTGCTCGATGAGCTTCCTCTTGCTTACCGGGTAGCAGCGGCCCTCCAGGCGGATCTGCACCACCTCCTCGGCCGACATGGCTGAGCCGCCGCGCGCGGGGCCGCTGCCCGCCAGCTCTGCGCGCAAGCCCGGGGCCGCGCGGGGCGCGCCACGGCAGGGCGGCCCGGAGCGCGGGCGGGCGAGGGCGGCCGCGGCTGCGCCCGGCTTCCCGGGCAGCCCCTCCTCCCGGGCGGCGGCGACGGCGGCGACGGGGACTCGGGCCGAGCTCCTCAGCACCACCACCACCACCCCCGGGGGCGGCCCAGCCTGCGGGGCTCCCTCAGCACCAAAAAAGGCCGGGCCGCCGCGCGCGGGCTCCCCCGGCCGCCGCGTATGTCTGGCAGTTTATCTCAACACCTAGCCTGATGACTGCTGCCTCCTCCCCCACCGGCCCTCGTTTTTCACCACGCCGGCGGCGCTTTGCCTGGATACAACGTGGGGGGCGCTCAGGCCTGTGCGTGTCGAGGCTAGGCTGCGGGGACGCCGGCGGCCCGACGCGGGGGAGCCCGGAGCCGGCCGCTCGCTCAGGGCGAAGGAAGGGGGAGCAAGCGTGACAAGGAAGGGCTGAAGAGAGTTCCGGGTCCGGGGGCCAAACCGGGGGGTCGCCCCCTCAAGGCCCAGGCGCCCGGAGCCACCTGTCCGGTGTGGTCGTCGAGCAGGAGCCATCTTGTGGGAGAAGGGCCCGGCCGGCGGCCCAGGTGGTCTGGGGTCCGGCGTCCTCGTCTCTCTTCAGGGACAGCCGCGGTCCCCCTCGTGTCCGTGAAGTCAGCCCACGTGCCCTCTGTTTTAGAATCAGGTTTTCCCACCACCTCCTTGTCCTACCCCCCCCCCCCCGTAAGAACTAGGAGGCAAAACCCTGTGCTTTTCCGCGTCCTCTCGGTTGCTGACAAACACAAAGATGGTACAGTCAAGGCCAGATCTGCGGATCCCACGGCGAGGGGAAGCCCCGCGCGCCACCCGGGGAGCTGCGGGCGGGCGCCAGGGGGGCAAAGCCAGGGGAGGTTTTTAAGGGCAAAATCGAGGATTCCCAGAAGACGCTTTGACCAGGAACGGGGTGCCAGCCAGTGACCGCGCGGAGGTCCTTGCACAAGTCCGTTTTGTGTTAGTGCCCTTTGTGCAAGCCCGCGTGGTTCAAGCGGACTCTTGGGGTCGTCACTGTCCAGCAGCAGCGGTCAGAACCCTAGCTTCCCTTATTTTTGTTAGGGTTGACACCAGCACCTCCGTTAGGATTCAGACAACTGTAACACTGCACGTGGCTGTTAGAAGACTCACCTCTACCATCAGCGCTCCTGACTTCGGAGAGGGACAGTCTGGTGACAGTGCCTTTGAATAGCGTTAAATAAAAATCACAGAAGGCCGCTGGTTTGGACTAAACTCCTCACTGTCATGGAGTCACTCACGCTCAAGGTCACTTCACCAGGCTGAGACCCTTCCATCACACAACCAGGTGGCCCTAACAGCCAGTTGCAGTTGGTTGATCACGAAGCCCCCACCCACCCACCCACACACACACGCCCCATCTTAATCCTTTTGTTTCTGCTCTCTTCAACCCCTTCTCTGTAAAAGCAGGCTTTGCATGGCTCACCGGAACAGTTACTCTATTTTCTGGAATGAAGTGTTGCTTGAATCTAGGATCCAAAATAAAGCCAGTTAAGATCTGCCCTTTGACAATATGTTCAGTAAGATCTGTAGGAGGCCACTAGTGTGGACCGAGCTCCTGCACTGGATGGACCAAAGTGGAGTCAGCCATGCTGCACGCCCCCTAGGCCAAATCCAAGTGGGTCCCACCCCAGGTGGCTTGCTGACCTCCCAGGAGAGAGAGAGATGGTGACCAAGTATCCAGGCAGGCTGGCTGGAGTCAGCCTTAGTAGGAAAGCCGCCTGTGCTTTAACCTTTACAAGAAAGGTTGTCAAGAACGGAACCTCAAATGCTGGCTCCTTGTCTGTTTCCGCTACAAACCTCTTCTACTTGGACCATGGAGACAGTCATTGCATTTTATGGAATGATCTGTTGCCTGATTCCAGAAGCACAGAAAGCCAAATGAGATCTTCAAATTAAAAAAAAAAAATTTTTTTTTTTTCAATGAGCTACACAAAGAGAAAGAGCAAGATCTTCAAACCAACTGTTCACTCCCCCAGATGCTGGGAGTTACACAGCTGGCACTGGGACAGCTGGAAGCCAGTAGCTGGGGACTTCATCCGGGTCTCCCAGTGGGTGGCTGGGGCCCAAGGACTTGAGTCAACACCTGCTGCCTCCCAGGGTGTGCATCAGCAGGGAGCTGGACTGGAAGCCGCGGTGACACTTGAACCCAGAACTCCAGTGTGAGATGCTGACATCTCAAGCAGCACCACAGTGCCTACCCCCCAAATTGAGGTCTTTGCACTAAACTTGCTCTTTTTGTCTTCTGACAAGGAGAAGGGTAAGGGACCAGGATTTGGGGGGGGGGGGGCGGGCAGAGGGTTTGCTCCTTCTTTCCTTCCAACAATAGCAACAAAATGTAACTTTTCCAGGCCAAGATTTGTAAACTGAGTATGGATCTGGATTTCTGTTTTTTAATTACAGGCTTGAGCTTTCTTCTTGAATGGCGAGTTGTTACATAGTAACTTCTTCCTAAGTGCATCTCCCCCTTTCAAACTGAGATACAGCCCCATCATGCTGATGAATGTTTTATGCTAGGAAAAGGAGAAAGTGAAGCACTGGAAAAAAAAAAAAAAAAAAAACAACGTCTTGGCAATGAAATATGAACTCCACTGAGTAGTTACATTTTTACTTCTCACTGTGTAATTTTACTGCTTCATACTGAGGTGTTGTGTCTTTTTTGCTTTATGATACACCAGGAATAAGGAACTAAAATTTAAGCAACACAAATCATGCTGGTAGGTTCTTGCCTTCCTGGGAACAAGAAAGGAGACAAAAACAGATCTGTGATTTGCCCTGCTCAGTTCTTTTCTGCGATCCCTTGGAACACTTCTAGCCGTTCACCCTGTTTGACCAGGCCTTGAAGTCATCACTCACAGAACCCCACCCCACACCCACCTGTGACACCGCCACTCCCCAGGAGGATGCAGGGAGACATTCTAGGTGTGGGGTGGGAAGTGAGTGACCTTGGATGGAGCAGATTCTTTGGGAAGGGAACATGCACCGCCCACCCTGCCCACCAGCACCAGGCCTTACCCCAGGGGGGTTTGCCGGGAGGCACCCCTGCATCAAAGACACTCAGCCCTGGCAGTGTGTTGTGCTACAGTGAGCGACAACGCTAGACTCAGTGGCTCAGCCCTCAGTCCCTCCTCTGTCTCTGCAGACACTGTGCCAAAGGATGCCTTTGTTTCCCAAGTGTCACAGATAAGCCCCTGACCGGTGTTTTCTTACCTTTGTAAAGCGGAGCAGTGACTCACAGTGAGTGAGTGATGTGCGTTAGAAGGGCAATTCGAGCGCAGTCACGTGGTCAGGGCAGGAGCCGGTGGGACGAGGAATCTGGGGTGTCAGGCTCACAATTCCAGGCCCTGATCCTGCCGCCTCTAGGCCCCCACTCTGACAGTCCCCTCAGTTAGGGCTGGGAGGGTCATCAAAGATCCAAAGGTTTTAATAAATCACACAGTACAGTTTCTGTTAAGCCAGAAATGTAAAGTCAAAGCAACGGAAACTCCTTTATTTACATAAAACCCAAAATATTATCTCTAGGCTTCATGAAAATATTGCTTCCTCTAACAAATAATCAAAGCATATGGGGTGACTTAAATAAAAGTAGTACACGGTGTTAACATAGCTCTGTTCCATTCAGGCTGAGCATCCTCACATGGGCAAAACTTCCATTGGTTTCTGTCTCCTAGGTCTCCTAGGTCTCCAAGTCTCACCTGGGACACTTGGAAGCTGGGAGTCCTGGACCCCACAGTAGCTCTTGAATCATGCCCCTGGGGGAGATTAGAGGTTTTTAAGATATGGAACTCATTTACTTTTTTTTAAAGATTTGTTTACTTACATGAAAGGGTTACAGTGAGAGGGAGAGAGATCTTCCATTCGCTGGTTCAGTTTCCAAATGGCCTCAATAGCCAGGTCTGAACTCCATCCAGATCTCCCACTTACATGGGTGGCAGGGGCAAACACTTGGGCTGTCTTCCTCTGCCTACTCAGGTGCATTAGTAGGGAGCTGGATCAGAAGTGGAGCAGCCAGGACTCAAAGCAGTACCCATATAAGATGCTGGCATCGCAGGCAGGGGCTTAACCCTCTGTGCCACACACCAGCCCCTGTATCTCATTTCTCAATGACTATCAAGAGCATGTCACTGGGGGCTGGCGCTGTGGCACAGCAGGTTAAGCCACCACCTCTGACACCAGCATCTCATATGGGCACTGGTTCATGTTCCAGCTGCTCTCCTTCCAACCCAGCTCCTTGCTAATGTGCCTAAGAAAGCAGTGGAAGATGGCCCAAGTGCTTGGGGCCCTGCACCCACATGGGAGACCTGGAATAAGCTCCTGCCTCCTCTATTTGGCCTCCCAGCTCTGGCTATTGGGACCCTTTGGGGGAGTGCACCAGCAGATGGAATCTCAATTTCTTTCTCTCTCTCTCTGCCCTTCTCTCTTTAACTGTAGCTCTCAAATAAATATTTTCTTAAAGAGCATGTCATCGGAAGGAATTACAAGATATCACCATGTTGTCATAATGCAGTGGTCCTGTGTGTTTCTCTACAAGTTCATCCCAGGAGGACAAGCTGTGAAACTGTTGCCAGTCCTCCTTCCCCCATGCCGACCGTTTCTACTCTTCCTTTTCAAGTTACTTGAACCAAGAAGTTACCTGTTCCCAAACTGAGTGTTCATGTAATCATCACAAAAATGTGTTTGAAACATTTTAAACAGGGTTTGGGATTGGACCTGGTAGATCCTCTAAAATGAAGTTTTGGGGCGAGTCTTTGGCCAAGAGGTTAAGACACAATCTAGGACACTGTGTTCCAATTTGCAGCTCCTGGGTTTACTTCCCAGCTCCAGCTCCTGACTCTAGCTTCCTGCTAATGTGTACCCTGGAGGCACCAGGTGATGAGCAGGTCTCTGGTCATGGGGCCGTGCCACCTACGTGGGATACCTGGATTGAGTTCCAGGCTCCCAGATTCAATTATGGGCATTGGGAGTGAACCTGCATAATGGGGGGAGGGGGAGGCCGAGGAGTGAGCTTGCTTTCTCTCTCCCTTCTCAAATAAATAAATAAATCATAAATAAAAAAAATTTTAAGCCTTTAAGAATGCACTAAAATAAAACTTTGACATCTATTTGAATACCCTGTGCCAGCAAGGGAGTTACACAATTGTGTATTGTTCCATTACCCCTGCAGGGCACAGGAAAGCTACAAGGAATCCTGTGTTGCAGAAGAAAAAGGAGGACATGCAGTGTGGCCAGGAGGTCACAGGGGCAGAATGTGGTCACTCCAGTTTATGCCCCAAGGGCATGTCCTAACAACAGCAAGGAATCTCATGGAAACACAAGAAGCAACCTTTTGTTCCTTCTGCCCCTGACATGGCCACTGGGACGTCCCGCCTCCTGCTCCTCTGTGCACAGATGGGGCAGCAGGGGTGCTGGCAGGAAACCCACTGAAACCTGCTTTTTCTACAAGAAGTTCCGTAGAGTGGAGCACACAGTAGGCGCCTGTGCAAGGCTCGGAGTTCGCACACAAGATTTGCTTGGAAGAAAAGTGAAATGAGTTTTAGTTATTCAGTTTCATGTATTTTCCTCCTCAGTACTGAGTATTATTGTTCTGCTTCTAAAAGTCAACAGACATGGGAGAAGTGGGCTGCCTCTGACTAGGAAACGGATGGAGAGATCCAAGTTCAAAGAATGTTAACAGTTCCTGGCTGAGTGAATGACTCACTGTGCAGAAGGTAGGAGAGAAATGGACTACAGGCGAGAGGCTGTGTCTTGCCTCTGCCATCTACGACCCCCCACTCCCAATGCACCTGACTCCAACATTCCAGCTCTCTTTGTAACAGTACTTTATGCCAAAAGCTGATTATCACTAATGTGTCACATAAAAGTGGATACGAAACAGACAGCAGTTTACTCTCTGAATTCACTAACCTGCAGTCCTGGACACCATGGGATACGGATCCCACAAGCTTCATGAGAGCAAGAGACCACTTCCACTGGCTTTTCTAGGATTTTGGCACCGCAAGTGGAGCAATTCCATCTGTGTAAGGAAATTTCAAACTATTTCACTGCATCCCAAGGGCACATTTCTCCGCAGCTCCTTCCGTTCCGGTCTGGACGGAGATATCGTGTCTCTCTGTATGCCCATCTTTTTTTTTGGACAGGCAGAGTGGACAGTGAGAGAGAGAGACAGAGAGACAGACAGACAGAGAGAAAGGTCTTCCTTTTGCCGTTGGTTCACCCTCCAATGGCAGGAGCCAGGTGCTTCTCCTGGTCTCCCATGCGGGTGCAGGGCCCAAGCACTTGGGCCATCCTCCACTGCACTCCCTGGCCACAGCAGAGAGCTGGCCTGGAAGAGGGGCAACCAGGACAGAATCCAGCACCCCGACCAGGACCAGAACCCGGTGTGCCGGCGCCGCTAGGTGGAGGATTAGCCTAGTGAGCCGCGGCGCCGGCCTTGTATGCTCATCTTAAGGACATCTCCCCGGTAACCTGCAAGCATGAATATCAGAAAATACACTGGGTAATCCCCACCTGGCACCTTTCACAGTCTGTGAGCCATGCTTCCTGCTTTCGGTGGAACAGTACAGATCCAATTCCGCCGCAGCGTTGTAGCCGTCTGCATTCTGCATTCTGAACACATCCCCATGGCTGGCTCTGTAGTCTCCCCTTAAATAAAGCTTGTGATTGGCCCCCAAGAAGTGACCAGGACCCAGGACCTAGGTTCAATGTTTTCCCATCACTACAAACTTAAAATTTGATCCGTTTCAATTTTTATTGACTTTTCCAGATTTTTATGGGAAAAAAAAAAGCAGCCGTACGGAAGCAGATTTTCCAGTGAACTTGAACACCCGGGATTTAAACAAGCTCCTTCAAAAGGCAGCAGAGGTGCGCGCAGAAGGCGCCTAGTGTCTGCTGGACCCGAGCCCTCACCAAGCTAAGCGGCTCCGGGATTGTCTTGCCCAGAAAGACTGTGGACTTGAATTTCCACCTGTCTTTGTGCGGGCTCTGTAACGGCGCCTGGGACTTCACTGTCAGAGCAGAAGAAAAGCAGAGGAGCGAATCCGCGTCTCCAGTCCGGCCTTGACCCACGCTGCGCTGTGCAGGCCGCACTCCAGCCCAGAGCACGCGTGCACGCCTCTGAGCCCCTTCTCTCCCGCCGGCCCCGCCGCCCCGAGACATGCACGTGGCTGTGGTGGCCACAGCCGCGATCCTGCTCCTGGGCGCCGGCCGGCCCTGCGACACCCTCTGCTCGCCCACCGTGTTCTACAGGGACTGCTGGATCCGGCGCTTCCCGGGGCTCCTGATCGACCTGGAGGAGTCGCAGAAGCGGGGCGCCCAGTTCCTGAGGTACTACTGGGAGAGCACGGGCCAGAGGTGTGGCAGGAGCTGCTGCCTGCGGAAGGAAGGTGGGTGCGGGACGGGGCAGGTGCACGCCAGGGGACTGCCGGGAAGGGCGGGAGAGGGAGCTGGCGGCGGCGTAATGCAGTGGCCCCAGATAAGCGAGCGTGGCTTTTTAAGACGCTCATGATTTCCTTCTCAAAGAGTTCCTCTGATGCTACATGTCTCAGGTCAGATGCTGAAAATGTGGGCTGACCAAATGTGGTCTGTGTGAAAGGAATCCTGACTGATTGATGCTATGGAGGGAAGCAGCCACATACATGCCAAGTAGAAAAAAAAAATCATGTTGTCAAATGCTCCTAAAATGTTTTTTTTTAATCTATAATATGGCCTGGGTGTAAGCAACCTATATACCATATGCTCAAGCCCTGCCATTAGAAAACAGTTGCAAGTGGCAGCATTTCAAGTTGCAAATGCCTAAAGACTTTTATTTCTCATTTACTTTTCTCTTTCCCCAAGATTTTAAAGCTACTTGGAAAGGAAGAGCAAAAGCAATGCAGCACTTTAAAGTAATTCCCTGGGTTGGTTGTTCCGCACTTTCTTTCCGTGCTTTCGTACCAGCTTAGGAACTGCCGAGGCCTGGGACCCCTCTCCGCAGACAGGATTTCCAAGAGGAGAGCTGGAGCGCCTTGGAGAGAGCAAACACGCTGCTCTGCGCGGAGACCTCGGCGTGAGAAACGCAGGGCCACGCCTCCAAAGCTTCACCAGGCACAAACATGGCAAGGAAGTGAGCAAGGGGAGAAAGAACCCTGGGGAGAAAGCAGCATGCCACAGTTATGCCTTCCCGTGGCCTCGCACTCCCCGGAGCCCCTCCCTGGGGAAGGCAAGGGAGAGGCCAGAGCTTTCCTGTATTTTCCTAGGGTATAAACGGACCGGCTGGTCCATGCACGCGGGGGGACCCTGCGCAGCCTCGACAGCGTCATGTTCTAGAGCTGCTGCAGCTGCCAGCGGGCCCACATGCTCTCTTGCAGAAGGAAGGGCAGCAAGGCACAGCAGCCTCTGTTCAGCCTGAAGCCGAGACCCAGCTCGCAGCTGGGACGCAGGCATGCAGGCCTCCTTTGAAAATCATTCCCGGACAGCAGCAGCATCAAACCCTTTCTTCTGGGAAATTTCAATGTATCAAACTTAAATGGTTCTTTGGTTCATTTCCTCCACACTCTACAACACAGCTCTCTGGAATGCATTGGTAAGCTACAATGTGTTAGTAATATATTAGTGGTTACTGTCCTCCTAGTCTTTCTCCTTCTGGAAGAATGCAGGGTGCACAAACAGGAGGGTGTCCCAGAAGTCAGGTGCAGATGTATGCACCTCAGTTCTCTGCACTCAGAAGTCACACAAGGGCTGCCAGCAGCAACGCCACAGTAGCTGAGGTCTGGCAGGGGCACATGACCCCTCTGTCATCCCATTTTATTAAGAAAGTTGATACCTTTGACCAGTGTGTAGCTCAGATTCCATGGTTCCTGTTGTACTGCATGTGTCACGGAGATACACTGGGGATTGGCACTGGACAGATCGGACTTCAGGTTGTCCAGAAGTAACAATAAACTTTAAGGAGCCCCCTTGCTTAGGAAAGGGGAGCCGGCATGAACAAGTGACGCCCCCCCTCCCTGCCCCGCCACTAGGATCCACATGCTGACCCACTCCCCGCCTCTTTTATTCACACCCATCAGGCTTTCCTGCGATGTGGTTTTGCACACGGGGCTGGGGCTAAAGCAGACCTGCCGCTGGGGCCAAGGTCAAGTTCACGTGGCCTGCTCCCTCCCACCAGCTAGGCTTCTCTGTGAAAGCAGTGGTTGGTTACTGTTTGCCCTTCCTGTTACTCCCGAATCTTCTGTGACAGCATCGGATTCCCTGTGAGTTTTCCTATCTCTCCATCTGGTGACCCCCTTGGCGTTCCACGGGGGCACTGCACCTGGAAGTATGACACACACACCCCACCCCCCCACCCAAAGGTTTTGTCGACTGACTTCCAAGAACACAGAACCCTGGGATTAAGAAGTAACGACCGCAGGTTGTCCCATGCGCAATGGAGCGAGTGAGGGATTACTTAGAGAAAATCAAGCGGTGTGCTCTTGACGAAGGCATTTCTGGCCTCCCGAGAAGCAGGATCCGTGGTCCCCGCTGTTCCGTAGAAGTCTGACCCCTGAGGGAAACGCAAGTTACCCAGAACTCATGAAGCCCTGAAATCAGGACCACAAGCATGGGGCCCAGAACTGTGGCATAGTGGGTAAAGCTGCTGCCTGTGACCCCGGCATCCCATACCGGTGCTGGTTCCTGTCCTGGCTGTTCCACTTCCAATCCCACTCCCCACTAATGGCCTGGGAAAAGCAGAGGACGAAGGCCCAATTCCTTGGGCCCTTGCCACCCACGTGGGAGACCGGGATGAAGCTCCTGGCTCCTGGCTTCAAACTATTTCACTGCATCCCAAAAGGCACATTTCTCAGCAGCTCCATCCGTTTCGGTCAGAGATACCATGTCTCTCTGTGCACCCATCTTAAGGTCATCTCTCTCTTTCTCTCTTTCTTTCTTTCTTTCTTTCTTTCTTTCTTTCTTTCTTTCTTTCTTTCTCTCTCTCTCTCTCTCTCTCTCCGTCTGTCTGTTTTTCCCCCTTTCTCTGTAACTCTAACTTTCAAGTAAATAAATAAATCTTAAAAGAAAAAAAGAAAAAAAAAAAAAAGAACACGCGCTGATGCGTCCTGCCTGCTTCCCTTCCAGTCTCCTGCAACGTGGCTGTCTTCCACCACGACCCGGTGCACGACAACATCAACTGCCTCCATGTCCACTGCCCCACGCTGGAGAGCTGCATACTGGAGCCCGGGCCCAGCGCCATCCTGTACAACATAACAGGCGGTAACGGTGCCCTCGTTCCAGACTGTTGAAGGGGGTGGGTAAGACTCAAGGAGAGCCAAACGTATAGCCTGGAATCTGGCTGCAATAAACGTGCACGAGGCCCAGACTCATCATTTTCCAGGGCTCTCAGTCTGGAACGTTTTGGACATCCAGGGCAGAAACTCAAAGGAGAGTCCCCTTAGCTGGGCATGTTCTGCTGGGTGAGTTCATTCCAGCCGCGAACAAACTGTTCACCACTGGCTGAGGTTAAGTACTAAATTTCATCTATCTTGGGAACCCTGAGGAAGAGCCCAAGTAGGGATCCCCCCCCCCAACAAGATTTATTTATTTGAAAGGAAGAGTTACAGAGAGGCAGAGGCAGAGAGAGAGAGAGAGAGAGAGAGAGAGAGAGAGAGAGGGTTCTTCCATCCATTGGTTCACTTCCCAAATAGCCGCAGTGGCCAGAGTTGGGCCAATCCTAGGAGCCAGGAGCCAGGAGCCAGGAGCCAGGACTTCTTCTGGGTCTCCCACGTGGGTGCACTGAAACCAGTGCCCATATGGATGCCGGCACTGCAGGCAGGGGCTTTACCTGCTATGCCATAGCGCCAGTCCCCCAAGTGGGGATTTCTACTGCAGTGGCTGATGGTGCCACTAGGAAACTAAGAAAACGGCAGTTCGTGGTTCATGGACTTTGCGTCCAAGGACTCTGCACAGACGCATGGGAGCAGGGAGGGGGGCACTGGGTGCAGCAGCTGAGTTGCCGCTTGGACACTCACATCCCCTAAGAGGGCCTGGGCTTGAGTCCCCGCCCTGCTCCTGACCCCAGCTGCCTGCTAATGCACACTCCAGGAGGCAGCAGGTGATGCCCAAGTGTCTGGGTCCCTGCCTCTCACATGGGACCCCAGGATTGAGTCCCAGGCTCCTGGTGTTGGCCTGACCCAGCAGATGGGAGATGGCTCTCCTCTCACTGTCTCTGCTTCTCATATAACATATTCTTTCAAATGTACAAAAAATGGTGTGAGGGCAGGGAAACTCGGCCCGCTTCCAGACCATGCTAGCCTGTCACTGGTCCTGAGACAAGCAGTGCAGTCTACTTTAGAGAAACACACGTTGAACTGTCCTTTGCATGCACCTTGGAGTGCAAATCAGTGACCAGAAATGAGCAGATGCTTGCCCTCAGAATATAAAAGGGATGCTTTCCTTTCTCAGCTTCCGCTCATCAGACCTCTCACGCTGCAGGCTGGGCCTGGCCATGCAGACGGTCCCAGCACCTCTCTTCCCTCCAGTGCCTGACCACATGACTGCCATGCAAAGTCTGACCACGAGTGTGAGCCGTCCAAGACCAGACGGAAAATGGGTGACGCTGCTGCCTCAGGTCAAAGGCTCCAGGAGGGGCACCCGGGTGAAAGCTCATCAACCCAGGGAGGCTTCCTGGCAGGGGTCAGGCACAGAGTGCAGGAGAGCAAAACCGGCCTGGCTGCAGGAGGGGACGCTTGGAATGGACAGGAAGATATGGCTAGGAGAGGGCTGTGGACAGCAGAGCTGTGGTTTGACTTTGCCCGCAACAGCAAAGCGACAAAGGGATGTAAATGAGAAAATGGCATAACGGAGGTGACAGGTCTGGTGATCCCAGTCTAGGGAAATTGAAGGCAGGGTGCTGCTGAGAAAACCTGCCGCGAGGAGCCTGGGGGCAGGCCCCAAGAGGAGAGGGCAGATAGGAGTCGGTTGCTGTTTGCATAGAGGGAACCCACGGGAGCGAGGCCCCAGGGGAAGGGGTCAGGAGTCTGGCTTCGGGCAGTTTCAGCGGAGGATGAAGTCGTAGAAAGAGGAAACACTTAGAGATGCGGGTTTCAGGGCTGTCAGTGAGGGCTGAGGTCGGTGGGGGAGCTGGAGTGAGCAGTGAAGAGCAGAGCTGGCCACCACGGACTGCAGACAGCATAGAGCCCACAGCCGGGTCAGGGCCCGGCCGCAGACTGGAGTCCACACCAAAGGTCTGCACCAGACGAGAACCAGCAGAGCAAAGAGAAGTTACAGGCCAGCCATCTGGGGTAAAATCCAAGGGGATCTGGGGCTCAGGGAGGGGTGGGAGAGGAATGGCAAAGAGAGGACAGCCAGTGGCACCAGGGACACGAGGGAACCCTCTGCAAGGAGACACGATGATCAGGAAACGGAAACAGCCGGGGCCGCAGAGGCACTGGTGAGGGTGGAAGTCGGATTACAGGAGCAGAAGCAGGTCAGAAGGGAAACGGGGGCTGCAGTGTTTAGGGGCAGGAGAGAAACCTTGGATCAAGTTGGAGGTTCTGTTTATGCGATCAGCTACACTTCTCAGGCCCTGTCTCATGTAACGGCATCTTATAATGCTCTATCGGGGCCGGTGTTGTGGTGCAGCAGGTTCAGCCACCGCCTGTGACCCTGGCATCCCTTCTGAGTGCTGGTTTGAGTCCCTGTTGTTCCACTTCTGATCCATCTCCCTGCTAATGCACCTCAGAAAGCAGCAGAATGTGGCCGAAGCGCTTGGGCCCCTGCTACCCACGTGGGAAGCCAGATGAGTGCCAGGCTTCAGCCTGGCCCAGCCCTGGCCACTGTGGCCATTCAAGAATCCATTAGATGGAAAATCTTTCTTTCTCTGCCTCTTCACCCTCTGCCTGTCAAATAAATAAAGTATCGGATCTCCGATGGCTACTGCGTCTGCAGCTCCGGGGCTAACACTGGGCATGGTCGTGTAAAGGCCTGACAGAAACAGAGCCAGAGCCCTCTCCTGGGGGTAGCTGCACTTGTTTGAAGCAGAAAGTGTCTTGGAGAGTGAAGATACACTCCAGTATGGCCAGTATGCTTCCAAGCCCTTAGGAAGGAGGGGATGGTAGAACTTGAATTTCATGTAGCTCACTAAGTCACAGCAGTAAATCCAAACCGTGCTGTCAGGTTTTCTCTGAAATGAAAAGTCAAACAGGGTTGGGTGTTCAGCCCACTGGTTCAGAGGCTCCCATTGTGTATTGAGTGCCCATGTCTGAGCCCCAGTTCCAGCTCCCTGCTAACGTGGACCCAGGGAGGCAGAGCTGATGGCTGCAGGAGCTGGGTTTCTGCCTCCCACACGGGAGACCTGGATGGAGTTCCTGGCTCCTGGCTGCTGTGGGCATTCAGAGGATGAACGAATAGATGGGAGCTCTCTATGTGTCTGTTTCTTTCTGTCTCTGCCTCTCAAACAAACAAAAAATCTTTATACAAAAAACGAATGATGCCTTATTTCTCTTTCAGGTATCGACCCAGATTTGCTGGTTTTTGGCCAGTTGCCTCTGACACACCTAAATACCCGATCTTCATCTAACAGGTGGGACAGACTAAGGATTCTAAAAGCCATGAATGAAGATCAACAGGAACCCACCATGGTGAACCAGACGCCCCCCGCTCCGTCATCCACCGCACCTCGAGGCTGGCTTGCAGACACAAACGGGACCACTTATTCCAAGGAATTAACGGCAGGTGTGTGGACAAGATTCATTTCTCTGAATAACTCCGTTACCACCAAGGTCGACGTTGGGTCACGGAGCACGGAGGTCACCAACATGACCGTCTCCCCTTCCTTTGCGCCTACGGACTCGGCACTGTCTCACGTGGCTGCCCCATTCCGCCTCAACAGCAGCAAACAGTCACTGAACAAGACCAAGGGGTCCAACAGCGGGAACCACACAGCTGACAATGGAGGCGAGACACTCATGCAGGGGACTCTGCCTGCAAGAGCCTGGCTGGCCCCCACGGCCCTGGGCAGCTCCGCCATCTTGCTTTGCTGTTGTGTAGTTTTCTTGGCATCTGGGTGCTGTCGAAAGCGGCAGGGCCAGTACCGACCAGGACAGAGAAAGCCAGGACGCAGGCGAGGCGAGAAACGTACACGCTGAAGAACTCTGTCCAGGGAAAGATCTAGCAGGAGCGGGAGCTCTCAGGGGTAGTGTGATTAGTTTTAAGAGGCAGGCAGATTGGTTAAAAAATAATTACACAGGATGCGTGCTCCTACCAATCTCTAAAAAGACGCCTTATAAACCTAACTGCTTTATTGTTTCCTATTTCTTTGAATAGCGTTACCTTGGCCACAGCTCTGAGATTCCGCCCCCTGTGGCTATTAGCTGAGCTGTACTGACTCACAGCCCTTACAACTATCATTATCTCATCACACACAGGGGGAAATGGAGGCAGACACAGGTTAAGGATCTTGCCTAAGGCCACACGCTACTAAGTACTGAAGCCAGAACTTAATTAACCATAAGCAATCTAGTTCAAAAGTCCATAATCAGCATCTTGTTAGACTAAGAGCCCCCAGATCCCCATATCATCAGATTTATCTCCCAGTGAAGGTCTGGTCATTGTCACATGCTAGTAGGACATTTAGCGGCTTCAGCAAAGCGTCACTGTCATAGTTCCTGTTTTACATCTAGCTTTCTGCTTTATGGAATAATCTTTCTCAGCCCCTCCCCCCATCTTCCAAAGCCGAGATGCCTGTTAACTACTGTTGAATAAAGCTTGCAAGTTTGAGCTGAAATCCCTCACTCACATGTACTGTTTTCCTGGGTATAGCTCTGTCCAAATCTTTTTTTTTTTTTTTAAGGTTTATTTATTTGAGAGGCAGTTACAGAGAGAGAGAGAGAGAGAGAGAGAGAGAGAGAGAGAGAGAGAAAGTCTTCTACCCACTGGTCACTACCTAAATGGTTCCAATGGCTGGAGCTGGGCTGATCAGGAGCCAGGAGCTTCCTCTGGGTTTCCCACACGGTGCAAAGGGCCCAAGCACTTGGGCCATCTTCCACTGCTTTCCTAGGCCATTTGCAGGGAGCTGGATCGGAAGTGGAGCAGCTGAGATTCAAACTGGCACCTATATAGGATGGCAGCACCACAGACGGAGGCTTAACCTACCACATCACAGCGCTGGCCCCAACTCTGTCCAAATCCTACACCTGATTTACTCCCTCAATCTTGTGTTCAGAGTCTTAAATGTATAATACTTGTACTCTGATTCAAGTCTCTAATGACCTTAAAATTTAGTTTCTTCATTACATTCCTAAAACCTGTTAATAATGTGAAAACAGATAGCAAAACACAGCTTGTAACCATGGGAAACAGATAAGGGGAAATCTCTTTTTAAGATTTATTTATTTGAAGCCGGCGCCGCGGCTCACTAGGCTAATCCTCCACCTAGCGGCGCCGGCACACCGGGTTCTAGTCCCGGTCGGGGCGCCGGATTCTGTCCCGGTTGCCCCTCTTCCAGGCCAGCTCTCTGCTGTGGCCAGGGAGTGCAGTGGAGGATGGCCCAGGTGCTTGGGCCCTGCACCCCATGGGAGACCAGGAAAAGCACCTGGCTCCCGGCTCCTGGCTTCAGATCAGCGCGGTGCACCGGCCGCAGCGCGCCGGCCACGGCAGCCATTGGAGGGTGAACCAACGGCAAAGGAAGACCTTTCTCTCTGTCTCTCTCTCTCACTGTCCACTCTGCCTGTCAAAAAAAAAAAAAAAAAAAAAATCACGTAAAAAAAAAAAAGATTTATTTATTTGAAAGGTAGAGTTACAGAGAAGCAGAGGCAAAGAGATAGAGAGATCTTGCATCTGCTGGTTCACTCCCTAAATGGCTGCAACAGCAGGGGAGCTGGGCTGATCCGAAGCCAGGAGCTTCCCAGTCTCCCACGTGGGTGCAGAAGCCCAAAGACTTGGCCATCCTCTACTGCTTTCCCAGACCACAGCAGAGAGCTGGATCAGAAGTGGAGCAGCCGGGACTCAAACCGGCACCCACATGGGATGCCAGCACTGCAAGCTGATGCTCAACCTACTACGCCACAGTGCCAGCCCCACAAAAATAACTTTTAAAGCCTAAGCCAGTTTACCTTAACTTGCTGATTCATATTATTAGGTAGTACATTTTTATCAATATCTATCCCAATAATTATAGGGAAAAGAAAACAATTCTGGGTGGGGTTATATCAAGATTTACATTATTCTAAAATCACATTTACATAAATAAATCAGGAAGTTGTCTTTACAGATTATTTATGCACTCATTATTTTTAAAATTTCTTTAGGTATATATATATATATAAATATGAAGTGCTTACAGATCTTTTAACAAACTAGGACTTCTAGGAGAAAAAATCTGCCTTCCTTGAGGTTGATCAGAAATTTACTCATTTCTTAAAGTTTGATAGTTTCATAGAAATGACCATAATTTGGTGAAAACACCTATTTACCTTTGTAGAAAACAAATATACTCCTCCTCTTTTGTGTGTGTGTTCTTTTTTATTATTATTATTTATTTGAAAGACAGAGTTACAAAGAGAGGTAGAGCCAGATAGAGAGGTCTTCCATTCTGTTGGTTCAATCCCCAAATGACTGCAACGGCTAGAGCTGAGCTGATCCGAAGCCAGGAGCCAGGATCTTCCTCCAGGTCTCCCACACGGGTGCAGGCTCCCAAGGACGTGAGCTATCTTCTACTGCTTTCCCAGGCCACAGCAGAGCTGGATTGGAAGAGAAGCAGCTGGGACATGAACCGGTGTCCATATGGGATGCCGGCGCCGCAGGCTGGGGCTTTAACCCACTGTGAAACAGCACCAGTCCCCATACTCCTCTTCTTTAACTCCTACTTTTTTAACATCTCATTTTTAAAAACTGAATTTTTATCTATTTCAAAGAGACAGAGATCTGTCACCCACTAGTTACTCCCCAAAAGCCCATGGCAGGCAGCACTGGGCCAGGAGCCAGGACCTTCAACCAGGTCTCCCACGTGGGTGGCAGAAGTCCAAGTACAGAAGCCATCATCTACTCTCTCCCTGGAGCTGGAAGGGTAGCACGGACTTGAACCCAGAGACTCAGATAATGGGATGTGGACATCTCACATGGCATACTCAGTTTGCCGAACGCCAGCCCTCAGCCCCTCCTTCTGACCGTCAGACACTGAACAGACTTGGACCAGAGTAGGAACCATGCCAGTCAGTCAAGAAGCAAAACAACTGGGACTAGAAACTACATCCTTACTGGAAACCAAAGGGCCCAAAGAGAAATTCTGTGGAAAACTCATAGTTTTATTAAGAAACAACCCAAGATCTCAGGGCTAAGGTCATTATACTCACTTGGGAAGTAATCGGGAAATCTTTCCAACACTGTAACCAGCCAGACCTTTAAAAAAAAGTCTAACTGTCCAGTATTATGAAATACCAGTCCTACAAGGGAACCACGTGAAGAGTGAGCTGGAGTAGTCCACAGTTAAGGAAACAAAGTTCCCCGTGTGCTGAAGCGACTTCTGAGCTCCAGGGCTGAGGATTCCGGGTCAGGAAGTGAGCACAGTGTCTCCCAGGGCCCTCAGAGGAAGGGTGAACTTGACAGTGCTCACCGGGTGCACACTGGCTCAACCCCCTGATTTGAAAAAAAACCCAAGGATCTAGTGTCACACTGTGCTGCTTAGTCACCAATTACAGCAGCAACCACTGCCTTTGTGCGGCAGTTCCGTCAGAATCCCACCGCCCTAAGATTTTGCCATTTGGTGTCCGCGTCTGCAGTCAGTCTCCAGATCAGTTGCTTGGAGCTGGGCAAACCGCAAAAAGAGGACACAGCCCTCTCCAGGACTGCCCACACCCTTCTCTGAGTTCGGGGGCATTCCCCAAACCAGCTTCCCAGGCTGACTCACGGAAGTTAACGAAAGCTGTTCAGACTCACAACTAGGGCTGATTACCAGGAAAGGATCCGCACTAAAATCACCCAAGGGAGGAGGCACAAAGGTTCGAGTCCAAGGGGTTCCAGACCTTTGGTTCTGGGTGTCTTCTGCCCCCAGAGTCAGGACACGGCACTGCCCTACTGCTGGCAGGCGACAGTATGCAGAGCACTGCCAGTCAGAGAAGCAGGCCTGAGCAGGTGCAGCTCGTGTCACACATCCCACGCACTCTTTAATCTGCACTGCATAACGACACAGGACAGACCCTACGCTACCACTCTGCACAGGTTCCAGGTGAGCACCACTCACCTTCCACAAAACATTTCCTCTTCAGCCCTGTTTCTGTATCTGAGTTTTCCTAATTCTGCGTGTGTGTGTCTGAATATACTGACACATGTCTTAGATGATGTTCTAAACATGGTCAGAAAATCATTTGGGGGCAGGTGTTTGGTGCAGTGTTTAAGACACAGCTTGGGGCCAGCACCGTGGCTCACTAGGCTAATCCTCCGCCTTGCAGCGCCGGCACACCGGGTTCTAGTCCCGGTCGGGGCGCCGGATTCTGTCCCGGTTGCCCCTCTTCCAGGCCAGCTCTCTGCTATGGCCTGGGAGTGCAGTGGAGGATGGCCCAGGTGCTTGGGCCCTGTACCTGCATGGGAGACCAGAAGCACCTGGCTCCTGGCTTCGGATCAGCGCGATGCACTGGCTGCAGCGCGCCAGCCGTGGCAGCCATTGGAGGGTGAACCAACGGCAAAAGGAAGCCCTTTCTCTCTGTCTCTCACTGGTCACTCTGTCAAAAAAAAAAAAAAAAAGACACAGCTTGGAACACCACATCTCCTATCACTGGACTTGGATGGACTCCTGGCTCAGGTTCCTGCTTTAGCGAACCCTGGGAGGCCACAGTGATGGCTTAATACTTGAGACCCTGTCACCCATATGGAAACCCAAATAAAAGTTTCTGGCTCTTGACTTTGGTCTGGCCCAGCCCTGGCTGTTGTGGGCATCTGAGGTATAAACCAGCATATTAAAGGATCACTACCTCTCTCATAAGTAAAAACAAATGAACAAAAATTTTTAGCTACTTCTCATTCATTATTCTCCTCCAGTGGAACACAATGTGACTCTCTCCCTCCTTTCTGTATTTAGGGCCATACTGTTGTCCTTAACAACCTATTTCCGGGGCCAGTGCTCTGGCGTAGCAGGTGAAGCCACTGCCTGTAGTGCCAGTATCCTATATGGGCACCGGTTCAAGGCCTGGCTGCTTAATTTCCAATCCACTCTCTGCTATGGCCTGGGAAAGCGGTGGAAGATGGCCCAAGTCCTTGGGCCCGGGTACCCGCGTGGGAGACCTGAAAGAAGCTCCCGTCTCCTGACTTCGGACATCGCAGCTCTGGCCATTGCGGCCATCTGGGGAGTGAATCAGCATATGGAAGACCTATCTCTGTCTAACTCTGACTTTCAAATAAATAAATAAATCTTAAAAAAAAAAAAAAACCTATTTCCTAGCTAGTACCAATCATGCCTTTTTTTAAACAAATGTTCTGGGCAATTGTTTCCAAATTCCTTTTGGTTTTCATTTATATTCTCTAATTTAGGCAAAATAAGTCTCTTAGGCAAATAAACTCTCAATAATTCTTTACTCTGATTTTTTTTTTTAAAGGCAGAGCAAAGGAGAGAGATCAGCAGAGATCTTTTACTAGCCGGTACACTCCAAAGACCGAAGTCCAGAGCCAAGAACTCCATCTAGGTGTCCCACGTGTGTTGGCAAGGACTCAAGCGCTCGAGCCATTATCTACCACCTCTAAGAATGGGCATTAGTGGGAAGGGCATTAGTGGGTAGGAAGGGAGTGGCTGTATTCAAACCAGGCATTCTGGTATGGGATGCAGCATCCCAAAGGGCAACTTCACCCACTGTGCCACAAACCGGACCCCATTTTGATTTTAAATGAATCACCTGTCAGCACCTTTGGAAGCGGTGAGAAATGACCTACAGATACACTGAAAATGATGCTGAACTGACAGCTGAATTGAATGGATTGACTGAACTGGAGGTCATCTTTTGTCGCGTCTCCTGAACCACGGTGCTTCTGAGAAAACCAGAGGGGTGCACGCCAGTTCATCTGCACTTTGACTTTGCAGCAAGCTTCAGCACACCAGGGCTAGCCCCAGAATATGAATTAGCGTGCCACACAGAGTTCAATTTAAAATACTCCCCAAACGGAGGGGCCGAACAACCTGTCAGGGTACAAAATACTCCTGGGGACCCGTTTCTAACCAGAATCAGCAACTGTGCAGATGGATAGGACAGACCGCAGTCCTGTGGACAGCACTGACCTGCCAGTCAGGTGGCTGTGTCCCAGGCCTTGCTCCCCAGCTAACCCAAACCCAGTTCAAAAGCAACCACTAAATGCCAAGTTGTGGGGAAAGAAATGTGCGGCAACAAAAACAGTGATTACAGACCGGAACTGTCATGTTCCTGCGGCGACGGCATACAGGCCCTGGCTGCTCCTCTTCTGATCCAGCTCTCTGCTTATGGCCTGGAAAAGCAGTGGAGGATGCCCAAGTCCTTGGGCCCCTGCACCCGCATGGGAGCCCCAGAAGAAGCTCCTGGCTCCTGGCTTCGGATCAGCCCAGTTCTGGCCACTGCAGCCATTTAGGGAGTGAACCAGCATATCCAAGATCCCTCTCTCTTTCTCCCTCCTTCTAACTCTCCCTTCAAATAAAAAAATAATTTTAAAAAATAATAAGATCTTTTTCCATCTGTTTCTGCCTTTAATCAAAATGAAAAGAAATTTTAAAGCAAAAAAGAAAAAAAACAGTAACTGTCAGCTGTGATGCTGCTATTTTATATAAGCACTGGTTCAAGTTCCACTGCTCCACTTCCGATCCAGCTCCCCGCTAATGTGCCTGCGGAAGCAGCAGATGGCCCAAGGTCTTAGGACCCTATCACCCATGTGGGAAGCACGGATGGAGCTCCTGGCTCCTAAATTTAGCCTGGCCCAGCACCAGCTGTGGTAGCCACTTGAGGAGTCAAATAGCAGATGAAAGATCTCTCCCTCTATCCCTTTAACTGCCTTTCCAATAAATTTAAAAAAGACAAAAAAATCACACACACACACACGCATGCACGTATCTGTAAATATATGAACACTAAAGTTGTTAGGTAAGCATAAAGCACTGTAGAACCAGAAGAAATCAAAGAGATCCTCTAACTATCAGTCTCAATGCCCAGTGCATAAATAAGTAAACTTTGGAATAATCATTGCCATTGTGCATTAGCAAGAGGGGAATAATTGCAACTCGGCTGTAAAGCAATGGTTTAACATTTTCAATTTTATATTAAATGAAGTCTTGATTACACATGCCACAAAATTAACAAAGCAAGCAGATTCTTCTACTTCACAATTCACGTCAAGTTCAACAGTCTCTTCACGGATTCTTTGTACTGAGAAAGGGTCTTCTCGCTGTCGCCCTCATTCTTCAGACTGACAACAGACCGCCTGTAATCGTCCACTTCCTTGGTGGCCAGGAGCTCCTCTCCACTGGCGCTTGTCTTCTCAGCGGCTCTCATCTGCAGAAGCGTGTCCAGGATATTTTTTTCTGAGGAGCTATTTTTCCATTCATACTCCTCCATGTCTGCCTCACTTTTGTATTTTTCCCATTCTTCAGTTTTCTGAAAGAAAACAAATGAGTTCTGAATTCTGAGAAACAGTATCAGAAGAGAGTTTGTTTATTTTAGGGGAAAGTAAGTTTGTGGGGTGGACATTTGGCACGGCCATGAAGTAACTGCCTGTGACGCCCACATCCTGTATCAGAGTGCCTGACTCGGGTCCCAGCTACTCCTGCTTCCAATCCAGCTTCCTGGAAGGCAGCAGGTGATGGCTCAAGTACTTGGGTCCCTGACACCACGAGGCAGACACAGATGGAGTTCTGGGTGCCTGCCTTTGGCCTAGCCCAACTCTGGCTGTGTGGGCATTTGTAGAGTGAACCAGTAGTTAGGTCTCTCTTTGTCACTCTTTCAAATAAAATGAAAATACATAAATAAGAGCTAAAAGAAACAGAAGTTTGCAAACCATGGCAGCCTTGGTTGGCTCTGTATGGATCCCATATCCAGCAGTCCAGGGCTGCACACTCTCTACGTCAGGGTGCGTTGGCCACACTCGCCGACTACCCCGTTCTGTGCACTTGGTCTTCCCTGAACCCTAACATATGAACATGTCACGCTGCTGGGGTGAATGCGTCCCTTACCTTTGGAGGAGCTGGGGGAGTGCTGCGGGAGAATTCCAATACGGTGAGAGGTACCAAGCGCCTGGGCTCACTCTCAACAGCTGCTGTGGTTTGAGCAGGATCTGGCTCCCTGACTCACACAGACGTTTACATCTTAAAGCTGTTAAGTCAGTGGCAGTAAAGAGCGCTGGGAGCCCAGACCAACGTGATGGGGAGGCCTGGAGAGGCACAGGCAAGCTCCCAGGGCTTCTCCCCGCCTGGCTTCCATGGGGTGGCTCCTGCACACCACTCCACCATCGCCTGCCTCCACCCCCATCAGATGCCAGACCTGTGAGGCCACCCAGTCCTGCACTGTGAGGCTCTCAATCATGAGGGGAAAGAAACCTGCTTCGTTCTTGGGTACGTTAGAGACAGTAACAAAAAGCTAATACACACACTTCAATATATTCTGGAATTTTGTTTTGTTATTATTAATTTTATGTTACTACTTGTTTTTTCTTGCAAAAATATTTCCAGGGGCTGGAGCTGTGGCGTAGTAGGTTAAGCCTCCACCTGCAGCACTGGCATTCCACGTGGGTGCACGTTCAAGTCCCGGCTGCTCCTCTTCTGATCCAGCTCCCACAAATGGTCTGGGAAAGCAGCAGAGGATGGCCCAAATTCTTAGGCCCTGCACCCACGTGGGAGACCAGGAAGAAGCTGTTGGCCCCTGATCGGCCCAGCTCCGGCTGCTGTGGCATTTGGGGGGTAAACTAGCAGATAGAAGACCTCTCTCTCTCTCTGTGTAACTCTGGCTCTCAAATAAATAAATGAATCTTGTAAAAATAAATAAATAAATAAAGGTATTTCCTGCTAGACAACACTGGTAGGTTTTAGAGCACTGTAATTCAGGTTTATGATTTAACCGGAGATGCAACATCCTGTGCAAAATTAAGCAACACAGCTATTAAGTAATATGCTCTGGTTCAAAAAAGTATGACATGCCAGCCACATTCTTCTTCAAATGAACATCTAACAATACTCTATAATAAAGTCATCCAGTCTTCTGAGCAGCAACTTTTTCAAACACTTATTTATTTTCACTTGATTTGAAAGGCAGACAGAGTTCGTCCATCTGCTTGGCCAACTCTTCAAACGCCCACAACAGCCAAGACTGAGCAGGCCAAAGCCAACAGCCCAGAACTTCTCCCATGTGGGCGGCAGGGACCCAAGGACTTGAGTCATCACCTGCTGCCCCCCAGAGGCATACTAGCAGGAAGCTGGGCCAGAAGCAGAAGAGCCATGCACTGGCATACGGTCTGCAGGTGTCCCGAGCAGCAGTGTAACTGCTGAGCTAAACGCCCCTACCTGAGTAACAACTTTCAGAGGTGGTAAATCAATGTAAGAGGAGGCAGCACGTCCGTGAGGACGTCAGAAGGGATCTGCCACCTGACAAGTCCCTGTGAGAGCGAGCCCAGCATGATCTGACAGAGCCCCAAGGCACCTGAGAGTTCAGTGGGCCCCACGAAGCAGGCGAGCTGTTTCCCTACATCCCCTGCTGCCCATGGCCACTGCTAGAGCCCACAGACGGAGGAAACAGCACTGAAAATCTGCTCTCCAGGGAAAGGAGTCACGCAAACCATACAGGCCTTTGGGGATTCCCGAGTCAGCAAGCCCATTCAGATCCAAAGAAGAGATTCCCCGACACCCCTCCACCCGAGAACCCTCTAAGAAGAAATCCCCTTGGATTCCTTCAAACGGAGACCCTATGCTTCAAGAAAAACTAGTACGATATAAGCTGTCTTTTTTGACCCCCAAAGTGGGTGCCTCCCTGTACTGAGGTCATGGCTGGAACCACATATGTGGTTGCTCATGTTTGAGCAATACCGCCCCCAGCAGTCAGCTCTGTCCCTGCTGCATCTGGGGAGAGGGCCCGAGGCATGGCAGAGGAGCAAGGACAACAGGAAACAGCTTCCTGTTGCATCTCCGCCCCACAACCCTGTTGCAGGCAATTTCCAAGTCAAACTCTGAATTCGTACATGTAAAAAAACAAAAAACAAAAGCTGCCCTACCCATAATTTCTACGGTAATATTCAGAGAAGGAATACAGGTCAGTCCTTGAAAAATCGAATGTACTAAATTGAATGTGTCACTGGTTCTACCTATTCTCAGAAATGCCTTGACGGCTTCACCAGTGTCCCAGGTTCCTGTGTTCTAACGTGCAGGTGAAGTACTCCTAACTACAGGAGCCGCCACATTCACGTCACAACGCGCTGTGCATCCTGACTTCCAGATGCTAGTACTGGAACTTCCAACACTGCAGTTACCCTCTCCTTACACGTAGAACACACACTTCAAAAAACCCAGAAAACAGATTTTATTTATTTGAAAGGCAGTTACAGAAAGACAGGGAGAGGAGACAAAGAGAAAAAGACAGAGTGATCTTCCACTTGCTGGTCCACTCCCCAAATGGCAGTGATGGCCAGAGCTAGGCCATGCCAAAGCCAGGAGCCTGGAACTCCATCAGTTCTTAACGTGGGTGCAGGGGCCCAAGTACTTGTGCCGTCCTCCACTGCTTTCCCAGTTGCATTAGCAGGGAGCTGGATTGGAAGTAGCAATGCCAGGACTTGAACCAGTATCCATATGGGATGTGGGCATCACAGGCGGTGGCCTTACCTGCTAGGCACTGGCCTCAGTACACGTACTTGTTTCTTTTTTTAAAGATTTTATTTATTTGAGAGCTAGAGTCACAGACAGAGAGAGGGAAAGGCAAAGAGAGAAAGGCAGAGGTGTACCATCTGCTGGTTCACTCTCCAAATGGCCACAACAGCTGGAGGTGGGCCAACCTGCTCTGGAGCTTTCTCCAGGTCTCCCACGCAGGTGCAGGGGCCCAAGCACTTGGGCCATCTCCTATTGCTTTCCCAGGCCATAGCAGAGAGCTGGATTGGAAGAGGAGTAGCCGGGATATGAACCAATGCTCATATGGGATGTAGGCAGAGGCTTAGCCCACTACGCCACGGTGCCGGCCATAGTACATAAGCTTTTGCACTGGTTTGCCAAGTCACATTACAGACGATGAATCCCTGGACCCACAAGGTGGCTAGGTGAACCTGCAGCACCAGGAGCAGCCACAGCACAGCATGGGTGCTGGCCCAATTTCCCCGTGCACAGTGACAAGGAAGCACAGGGAAGCCCATGCTGGGGGACAGCGTGCATGTCCAGAAGAGCACTTCTGCTCAGAACAGTCACAGGTGGGGTAAACAGGCCAAGCTCTGTGGCCGGCGAGGCTTTCCACTAAGCCCGGCTCAGCAGAGTGCATCGGCAGGCTATGCCACACTCCTGTTTTCCACACATTCCAGTTCTAGGACCACACTCTGCACAGCTGGATGGAAGCTCCACAAGAGAACAACCCCTAACAACCCAACACTCATACACACCAGGTTTCTCAAATGCTGATGTGTGTTCATTCGTCCATACAACGGATTTCTTATGACGTTCTACTAGGGTAGATTTTAGCATCTCTACAGGTCAGCAAAGTAAGTAATACAGGAGTTAAACAGCAACAACCTCTTGGAGGGTTCCATGGAGAGCAACAGTCTCTTGGAGGGTTCCAGAAGTCAGTACACTGCATGTGTCATGTTTTGTTAGAGGAACCCCGGTGGGGGGGGGGGGGGGTGCTGCAACACTTGTTCACACTAAGTGGGGTAAACACAGACTATAAATAGCTTGTCATTCATTTAGGCCACATTTTTGCCACCAAATAAGCAGACTATCATTCCTTAAAGACTTCTGTGTTTCAAAATGATAGTGAGAGGGTGAAACACCTCTGACTGGCTCACACTGACTCCCAGAGCTGAGTTTAAACTTTAGCCTCATCACCTACTAAGGAACCGGCAACGTTTCTTGAGCCTGCGTCTTGGTAAGAACGGACTGCACGAAACTTCTCTGAGCGACACAGGAAGGAGGGCACACCCAGAAACTCAGGGATGGCTCCCGGAACACTGAATAAGCCTTTGCTGTTAGAAACACACTTCAGGGGCTAGCGCTGTGGCTCAGTGCGTGAGGCTGCCGCCTGCAGTACTGGCATCCCACGTGGGAACCAGTTCGAGTCCCAGCTGCTCCACTTCCAATCCAGCTCTCTGCTGTGGCCTGGGAAAGCAGAAGTAGGCCCAAGTGCTTGGGCCCCTGAACCTGCATGGGAGACCTGGAATAAGCTCCTGGCGGATGCAGTTCCAGCCACTGAGGCCATCTGAGGAGTGAACCAGCACATGGAAGCTCTCTCTCTCTGCCTCTGCCTCTCTGTAACTCTGTCTTTCAAATTAATAAATAAATCTTAAAAAGAAAAAAAAAGAAACACACTTCAAAGTGTGGGACTCAACTATCCTAGGCACCCAGGTGGAAGGTTTGGAGAGGAGACAATGTCTCTACCAACCTTTGGGAGAATGTCTTCAAAGCACACACGATGGCTCC